ATGTATGTATGTATGTATGTATGTATGTATGTATGTATGTATGTATGTATGTATGTATGTATGTATCTATATACTTATCTATCTATCTATCTATCTATCAGCAGTATTGAAGCGAAGTTAGAGTCATTATTTACTTTTAATTTCGTTCCAAGCTCTTTTCTGATTAAAATCTATCTTTTAGGTGTGTTGCTTTTGATCTGTACTTCTCGGGTTCACATTTTGCTGAAGGGCTCGTAATTGTTCTGCACCCTTGACGAATTGGCATTCTTTAATGCGTGGGTGAACTGTGATTTTTTGTCAAGCCCAAGCCGTTGTTTGACACGTTTTCGTGCGAACCGAAGCCTATTGCCTCGATAGCAAAGTGATCCGAGACGCTTCGTTGAAGACAAACGACAATTGTCCAAAAGAGGAATTCGACTTGTTCGTCTGAAGAGCGAAAATGCTTCATCTTTGTGTCGTCATAACTATTTTCCCTTTTGCCCAGCCTCGGTTTGTATTGGCCTACTATATTGGTCTCATGATGATATGGTGGGAATCGGCGAACTGAAACGTCATAACAACTAAATTGCGCTTTGACAACTGTACTAACGTCGGCGCATTTTGAAGTTGCACATTGCCTTAGTTGCCACGCGGAGATAAGGTTACTTTGGGGCTCATCGAAGAGAAGTGGCAGAAGAAGGGAAAAGGAAAAAAGGCAGAATCAGGTTGCCAGTCTCGCAATGATGCAACGGAGCAGCGCGTTCCACTCGCTTCGTTGAATAGTCCAATTTCAGACGCAAAGAGGCAGGACAGACGAACCAAGTGAAGATAGGTTGGCCGTCGTAGGACACGATTTGGCCCCATCCGTCAGGCCGATGCCTCCGGATTTCCCTCACTTTGTCATAACAACCGAAAGAAGTATGCAGTCGTTACATCCAGATACATACACACACACACACACTAGAAGAGTCTGCGACTAGATGCACACAAAGTGTACATCAAATGTATGTACAAATGAAAGTGTATTTGAAAAGGAATGCACTTGTGCTTGGTGATAGTGAAAGCTGAGCCGGGCAACACGTGCTGCCACGAGTCATGAACGTGCCGGGGCAACAGTTGTCGAGGCGGCAATCCTCACAGACAACGTTGTCTCTAAGTCTTTGGCAGACGGAAGACAAGCAGCCGCGACAGTAAGCAGGCGAGGATAGGAACAAATGTGAAACTAAGCAAGATGGACGAGCAGGGAATGGGGAGTGGGGTGGGATAATTGTCAGGAGAGGGAAAATGTTTTAGATTGATAAGACGTGTTGTGTGTTTAAATGCTATATTTTTGCATGTGCTTGTGCTGTGAAGGCTGTGTGTGTGTGTGTGTGTGTTTGTTGTGTATTATAAGCCTTTTGGATAAATTATAATATTTTTAACATTTATTAATGTATGTGTTTTGTGTGGTGTTTACTAAATTGCAGAATATGCAATGCGTCGTCTGGCATTTGCTACTGATTTCAACTTATTTGTGCTGTGCTGTGCGTTCTATTTGGTTTATTTGAATGTCGTCTTCTCTGTATGTTGCATATTATGCATGCATTTGTATCATTTCCCAGTTTTACATTTTCTTATGCTGCCAAGTCTCATTCTATTGTGTCTTTACTCTTGCATACGCCATGCTGATTCCGTTACCTTATCCGCCGTTTCGTCGGCTTGTTTGCCGATGTGTTGTGTTGGATGTGGAGATTGTGAGAACTTTGTACCTTTTCCTGTGGTTGGTTTGCATGCTACATGCGTCTCTGTTCCTTTTCACATGTTTATACGGTTATGAGAAAAAAACTCAAAGAGTGTACAAACTATGACAAATATATTTATTAATATATATATATAAATACATTTGTTGTGATATATATACATATATAAAAATAAATATATATATAAATTTATAAATATAAATATATAAATAAAAATAAATAAATAAATAAATAAATAAATAAATGTATATGGCCGAAAAATTATTTTCCCGATTACATGTAAGAAAATAAAAATTGAATGGAACATGCAAATCATAGCATAAATATGAATATAGAAAATATGATGATATAACATTATTGTAATATGATTATTGGTAATGTTGGCTGTATTTCGTAATGAATGCATTTTTGTACTGTTTGGTTGTGTATTTTGTTGGGTGCCTTATTGTATGAACTGATCTTTGTTTGCCACTGAATATATGAAGACCAAGATGTGGCGTTTGGTATGGTTGTATGTTGGCCATGTTTACTGTGATGTGATTTTGGGTTGACTGTGCGTCTTGCGTTACCTGTTACATATGTTCTGTGTACTTTGCTTTGAAGCTTGTGTTTTGGCTAATATAATGTGTTGTGTTGTATTCAGTGTGTTTCTTTTATGTGTTCCCTATTTCACTGACCGTATTCCCCTGCTATTTTTGCACAAACTGTCAGTTTGTCCTCTTTATTATTTGAACAATTTATGAATATATATATATATATATATATATGTTTATGTATATGACCGAAAAATTACTCTACCGATTACATGTAAGAAAACAAAAAATTGAATGGAACATGTAAATCATAGCATAAATATGTATACATAAAATATGATGATATAAAATTATTGTAATATTATTATTGGTAATGTTGGCTGTATTTTGTAATAAATGCTTTTTTGTACTGTTTTTTGTGCCCTATTGTAAGAACTAATCTTTGTTTCCCATTGAAGATATGAAGACCAAGATGTTATGGTGTTTGGTATGATAGTATGTTGGCCATGTTTACTGTGATGTGATTTTGTGTTAACTGTGCGTCGTGCGTTACCTGTTACATATGTTGCGTGTATTTTGCCTCAGGTGCTGTGTTGTGTTGTATTCAATGTGTTTCTTTTATGTCTTCCTTATTTCACTGACCGGTTTGCACGAACTGTCAGTTTGTCCTCTTTATTACTTGAACAATTTATATATATATATATATATATATATATATTTATGAATAAATAAATATAAATATAAAAATATAAAGATATAAATATAAATATAAATATAAATAAATAAATAGATAAATAAATAAATAAATATATGTATATGACTGAAAAATTAATCTACCGATTACATGTTAGTAAAAAAAAAAGAATGTGACATGCAAATCATAGCATAAATATGTATATAGAAAATATGATACTATAACATTATTGTAATATTATCATTGGTAATGTTGGCTGTATTTCGTAATGAATGCATTTTGTACTGCTTTGTGCTTTGTGTATTGTGTTGTGTGTCTTATTGTATGAACTGATCTTTGTTTCCCAAGATGTTGTGGCCTCTGGTATGATAGTATGTTGGCCATGTTTACTGTGATGTGATTTTGGATTGACTGTGCGTCGTGCGTTACCTGTTTCATATGTTGTGTGTACTTTGCCTAAGGTGCTGTGTTGTGTTGTATTCAATGTGTTTCCTTCATGTGTGTTTCCTATTTCACTGACCGTTTTGCCCTACTATTTTTGCACGAACTGTCAGTTTGTCCTCTTTATTACTTGAACAATTTATGAATATATATATTTATATTTGTACATTTTATTACTTTGTCTAATGTAGATACATAGATGGCGACAGCGAGCAATCAATCGGTTTTCTCTGTATATGCCTGCAAAGTGTATCGAGATTTGCGTACACACGCCCAATTTCGTTGAGATACCACAGAGTGGCCGCAATTCCCAGCTTAAGCATAGTTGCGTGGATGGGTATGGTGAAAAAGAAGGGGCTAAATCAAGTCCACGCGTGTGTGTTAGTCGGCCGGTGGTCATAGACGAGCTGGAATGGGCGGGGTAGGGGTGGGGGTGGGTGGGGCACATGAAGTCTGGAGAAGGAAGAGACGAGGTGGGTGAGCAGACGAAATAGCATACGAGCTGGGCAGACTATGGAGCTATGAAAAAGGTGGAAGCCCACCCGTCCGGCGAGGCTGGCCGACCGAGTGGGACTGTTGCGAGCCGACGAGGGCAGAGAGGGGAGCGAGAAAAAGCGAGTTTCGTGGCAAATGTTTCCGTCTAATGAGATTGACACCACCTGACGGACGTCTTGTCAACTCGACGCTGGCCTGCTTCTCAGATTGGACACATTTTATGTGTGCCCGAAGGCACAAACACCAAAACACACATGATGGTGTGTCTCTGGTTGCCTGGCGCAACCAAGAGAACATTCACTTTTGAAGAGGATATTTCAACGAAAGGGATGGTTATCTTTTTATTTGCGTAAATATCTTCAATATGGGATGGAAATTGCGTTTTTTTCACTTTCCGTTTTGTGTATGTTTAGATGTTTGTGAAAACTCGACATTGCCAGAATTTCTATCAAAACCTATAATCACGAAGCAAAGCATCTTTCGTATTGAATAGTTGACATTTAGTTTTAAATTCGCATGAATTGTAATGCGTCGTTGTATTAAAAGATATTAATGTGTAAGACTGACTAGATTGCAAGCAAAAATAACTTTTTGACACCCTCCAAACATTGATGTGAATTGAAATTATTCCATTTTTCACAGCCTCGATTATCGCTCATTCTGCTGCCTGGGTGATGCAAAAATCGAAGCCAAATAGCTTTTATATGAAATGTAGCCGTCTCTAAACCCTACTTATGAACGACAAATAACATTCTTTTGAACAGGATGAGACTAGTTTGGTTAAAATGTTTTTTTAAAAATATATTAAAAGATAATGAATTAATGCCACCATTCGATGAATTTCATGATATTTCATTGCTCATCCGACTTCCACTTCGTAATTCAGGGAGCTTAAGTTGATTTTCCAACACCTTTACGCAATTCTTTGCTGCTGGACCGCCCAAAATACGACAGTCTCGATCTTACCACACATTCTTGTCAGCTGGCCCAAAGACATTTGAACCCGGTTAGTACGGCCGGCATTAGAAACTATAGTTGCCAGTCTATTAAATCACATTTATGGTTGCATTGTGAATG